ACTCATTGTGCTGCAAAATATATGCATACTATATTATGGGAGTTATTTCTTGCCATTTGGTTCACAGATCAAGTAAGAAAAATAACCAATACTAAAAAAAAGATTTTGGTTTGGAGTTCAGAACTTTGTCAGATCACTCAATTGTCCCAAAACAAATCTCCAAATCTATAACCGTATATATAGTCGTGTATAAATCGAGTGCAGTTTTTTGACCAGCAGTTGTGAAATATGCTGTGACTCGTGGATCATAATTATATTTGAATACTCAGGTGCTTCTATCTTATGTATCCCCTAGTGTTTTATATGAATTCCAGGAAATTGATCATTATTCAATATACTCCCCGAGAGTATATTGAGTCGAGAGTACGTTATTCGAATGGAATTGTTCGGCTTCTGTTCGGTTATCGAACAGATTCTGTGTGGTCCTCTTGTTAACACCTCGTAATCACCAACCACCCCTGGCTTTTAACCACAAACAAGCATGCTTGGGTGGCCGCCATTCGTATATACAATTGCACGTGTCTTCTTCCAAACGCAGGCAGCGGTACACGGTCATCGACAGCACAGATCTCTGAGTCGGCTACACAAGCCCGCAAACACTTACGAATCTTGTAACCCTGTCTGTTCGACTTCCCGACCAGCTACTAGGAGAACAGCATTCGGGAATCGACATGGCCCCGCATTCGACTCCCGAACACCGTTTGACTCGCGAACGCCATACAAAATTCTATCGAAACTAGCACTGACCTGTGGATAAGTCGACTGCATTTTAAAATGAAGTTAAGACTAAAATTTCTCGACTTATACACGAGTATATATGGTAAGTAATAGCCGGAATCTTTCTTTCCATTATTAAGGGTTATTATAACAGAAATGTAAATCCTTTTTAATTATTTCTTATAATATGTTTGTTTTGTTGTTACTAGATTGAGGAATATTAATGACAACATAGTTGATGATCTGCTGGTCTCTGTAGAGTTCCATGTGCTATAAAAAAGGTGCTGTGGGATCTTCTAGAGGTCAAATCCCTACTTGTATATCTGTTCCAGAGAGATCAATTTGCTGCTGTAACTGTTGAACGTTCAATTTCCTGGAATTCAAATGAAACACTAGGGGATACATAAGATTGAAGCACCTGAGTATTCAAATCTAATTGAAGCACATATTGTTTCATGTATCAGCAACCACTAATATAAACATTAGACACAAATGGTAATTATACTAAGTAAAATAATTTTTTTTTTATTGAGAAAAATACTGTTTTCAGTAAATCAACTTTTACATAGATACTCTACACTGATCAGTCACAACATTAATGTCAGGTTACCTTGTGTGTCAGTCAGGGGCATGTCACAGGCTGGCATCTCATTGCAGGTTACTGGTGATACTCCTACTAACTTTCAGCTTGTCCCTAGCCATTCTTACGCCAGCCGCGATAAACCAGCCTCCTTTTAAGATGAGGCTAATGAGCGCCGACGTCATGATGCTAAAAACTGCCAAGGTGTTCGAACGAGAACATTTTGGCGGCATGGTTACCTACCTAAGTGAACACAGTATTTAAAGAGGAACCAGGGAGACACTTATTGCCCTGTTGTGGTTGTCATTTGACCCTAGAGCGCATATTCCATATTGGTATTCTTGTATTCTGACTTTGGCTTAGTTTGACTATTCATCCTTCTGTGTTCCTTTGACCTCGGCTATTGCATTATCGTTGATCCTGATTTATGGTACCCCTGACCTCGGCTCGCTATTTGACTATTCTTTGTGAATGTAGTGTTAGTCCGGTCATCCTAAAGTCCAGTATACATTACTAGTGTTTGCATTCTGCGTGTAGGATCCCTAAATGTTTCTGACATTACAACAGGGCCATATGGCTCCGGCAGGTGTAAATACTCAGGTAGGCCCATACGACAAACGTTTCCAAGAAGTGGTTCACCATATGGACCAGATAGCTAGTGCTTTACGAACCTTAATTAACAGGTCTAATCCTGTATCAGATGAAAGCAGTGCTCCCTCCGTGTCTCCTCAATATGGGGGACTGGAGGTGGCTACTGTAGGGGCCTCGTCCAATGCCAAACCACCCCTACGCTATGGTGGAGCACCGGAAGCTTGCCAGGGTTTTTAAACCAAATAAGCATTCACTTTGAGCTCCAACAACGATCCTATCCTACTGATAAAGCCAAGGTAGGATTTATTATCACGCTTTGGGTAGACAGAGCTTTGATATGAGCAAATCCATTATGGGAGAATAACAACCCTCCGGTGTATAATTACGTTGCTTTCATCGAAGCATTTAGACGTACTTTTGAGCCTTCAGGTAGGAAGGTGTGAAGAAATCCCTCTTTGTGTTTTCTCTCCTTTTTCATTCAGCGGGACTTGGTCGTCAAGTGTCTGGAACTAAAATCGGACACTCGACTTCCTGAACACCGGTCACAACATATGAACCCTGGATCTTTATTTCCCGAACAGCTAGAAGAGCGCTGTTCGGTACTTTTGTTCATTCGTATGAGGGGAACAATCGCTGTTAAGAGCCAGGGGAAACCGTTTGTGGAATTATTTGTTTTTTGCCACTTAACGAAATGGACCAGCAAAACTACCCAAACTTGTGGAACTGGTTTTGGCAGAAACCTTGTGGTTAGCCGGTCACAAAAGACTTCCATACTTTCTGAGAACCCCTGAACCGATCTGAGTGAAATTTGAATATATTGGTCACCCAGATCGGGGAAGGGGACATATTATTTGTGGGGATACCATATGCATAAAGGGGTGTTCTAAATTGGGTAAAACTGTATTTTTTTGTGCCTGGAGATAAATAAGTTATTACTTTATCAGACGCGATTATCTCCAGGACTAGGGGAGGGAATTGTATGTTTGTGCTGGGAGTGTGTTATGTTTTACTTGTTAATGATTGGATGTACCTTGTCCCTCCCTGTGGGATGTCCCCTTGCATGGGGACTTGCATAAAAGCCAGTGTGTGATAATTAAAAGCCAGTTCTTTTGCACCCTTCTTCTAGACTCCGGCTGATGTTTGGGTATTCGTATGCTTTACTAAGGGAATCATCTTGTAAAGCTATTGCATTCATATGGACATCGTTTATTTCATCTGCCGAACGGAGAGTTATAATCACTGATGCTCTGGCAGTTCGGAAGGAAACTACCGAATGAGGATTGGATATACTAGGTTTCCTTACAGAAGGCCAATGCAGCCAGGTCTCTATTTACACTTAAGAAAGGTACCAGAACCTTGGTAGAATATGCTCTATAATTTCAGTTTCTAGCATCGGAAATCACTTGGAACTATCGGGCCTTTGTGGATGTGTTTCTTACTGGTCTCTCCGATGTTATATTAGCTGAAATAGCTACTAGAGATATTCCAGAGAACCTTGAGGAAATTATAGCATATATATCACTCATAGATGAACGCCTGAGATCTAAACAGAATACTAGAGATAGACCTAGAAGAAATTCTATTCGTATGGCACCTGTATTTAATAATCCTAACTCTGACACTTGATTTACCAGAACCTATGCAAGTAGGGGTGACTAGAATCAGTGAAGCAGAGAGACAATACAGAAGAAAGGAAGGCCCGTGTCTGTACTGTGAACAAAGGGGTCATCTACGCCTTTATTGCCCTGATAGGTCGGAAAACTCTCACACCTAAGCCCACGAGGGGGACAGGTCTTGGGTAATTCTTTTGTGTCCTCTACTAATGCTCATAAAGAGCACCGACTTCTAGCTCACATTGTCTTAACTTGGGACAGTAAGAGGGTTAATACGTTGGAATTAATAGATTCTGGCGCAGCTGAAAACTTTATTGACCAGGATTTTGCTAAAGATAAATCTCTACCTTCTAAGTTATGAAATACTCAATGAGCCGTTGAAGCCATAGACAGTCGACCCCTCCAGGTACCCATGATCACGCAAGAATCCATTCTAGTTATCCTAATAGTGGGTGTGTTACATAAGGAGAACTGTGTATTCCAACACATTACTTCTCATACCTTCCCAGTAGTATTAGGATATCCCTGACTTAGGAAACACAACCCATCCATCAACTGGGAATTGGGAGAAATTGTCTCTTGGGGTAAGAATTGTCTGGAGAAATGTATCACCAAAGTACTTCCCATTCGTCTTACTAATGTACCTAATATATCCCCTTTGATCATCAAAATACCTGAACAGTATTTAACGGTGAAAGAAGTTTTTGACAAAGGCAAAGCTGAATTATTACCACCTCATTGACCATATGATTGTGTCATTAACTTGATTCCTGGAACTATGCCCCCTAGAGGTACTGTATACCCTCTTTCTGCAAAAGAGAAACAGGTCTTAGAAGAATATATTTGTGACGATAATACCCAATACGCAGGGTGAAAATCACCAGAACAATAAAGACATATAAAGATTCCCTATACCGGTCCTTAGAATGGCCGGACTTTAAGGAGCTAGGAAAGACAGAAACAAGCTGAGGTCAAAGGAATATAGAAGTACACAAAAACGGGGAACTAGCGGAGTCAGGGAAACCAGAAATCAGAGTCGTCAAAGGAAAGCCGGGTCAATACACAAAATTAGCCAAAAGAACACAGGAATGCGCTGAGGAGAAACTAGGAACACAAGGGACACTAGGAACCACAACAGGGCACTGATTTGGAGGCAGACTGGGCTTTTATATGATTGGGGACGTGATTCTCATAACCACGCCCCCAAAAGGTACGTGTATGTTGAGCTCTTTTGTGCATGCATGACCAAACTGAAATTAGTTTTCTAGGTTATGTAATCTCGGAGATAGGATTCACTATGGATCCCAGTAAGTTGGACTGCATACTCAAATGGCCACTACCTAATGGCCTTAAAGCAGTTCAAGGATCTATTGGTTTCTCAAACTATTATCGACAATTCATCAAGGGGTTTTCACCATAGTAGCACTCATAACAAGTCTTCCATTTCTGTTAGAAGTCGATGCATCAGAGACTGGTAAAGGAGCAGTGTTGTCTCAGCTTAAAGAACCTGATCAACCTCCCCATCCCTGTGGATTTTATTCCAAAAAACTATGTGACACTGAAAGGAGGTATGATATTGGAGATAGGGAACTCCTTGCTATTATTTTGGCATTGAAGGAATGGCACCATCTTTTAAAAGGTACTCCAACTCCAATAACTATACTTACAGACCACAAGAACCTCTCCTATATTGGAGAGGCCACACATCTGTTTGCTAGACAAGCTCGTTGGTCTCTTTTCTTGACCAGGTTTAACAATGTGCTGACATATAGATCCGGGTCAAAAAACTCCAAGGCTGATGCGCTGTCCAGACAGATAGAACCTCTTGCATGTTCCGAGACCAGTATGACTTCTATAGTTACTCAGCAAAGTATTATTGCTAATACTAGAATAAATATACAGTCTCCACTGGCTTCGGACATTTATTCCAAACAAAACCTAGCTCATAAGAATCTTCCTGAGGGCAAGATATACATTCCTCCTGAACACCAGAAAGAGTTATTGTTTTGTTTACATGATAGTAAAATCGCAGGTCACTTAGGTATACGCAAAACCTTGATTTGATTTCGAAGGAATACTGGTGGTCGACTATGCATAAAGACATCACGGATTATGTTTCCACTTGTTGCATATGTAAACGAACCAAACTGTCTCATACTATCCCTTGTGGGTTACTGCAACCTATTGACATAACCAATAAACCTTGGGCAAGCATCGCCATGGATTTCATAGTTGAATTGCCTATGTCTGAGAGAATGACGGTAATTCTCAGATTCACGAAAATGGTACACTTCATTCCGTTACCTAAGTTGCCTTCCTCTCCAGAATTGGCTAAAGTCTTTGCTAAAGACGTATTCTGTATACATGGGATACCCCAAGAAATTATCTCTGACAGAGGTTCTCAATTTGTGTCTAAATTCTGGAGAGCATTTTGTTCACAGATGGGAATTTCACTTAAATTCTTGTCCGCTTATCATCGTCAAACTAATGGGGCAGCAGAAAGGTCTAATCAGAGAGTAGAACAATATTTACATTGTTTTGTTTCTGCTCACCAAGATGATTTGATTGGCTTGCTTCCTTGGGCTGAGTTTGCTCTAAATAATGCAATTTCTGATGCGACTCAACAAAGCCCCTACTTCTTAAACTATGGTTTTTTACCATGTGGTCCTTCCATCGGCATTTCCTTCATGGGGATTGCTGATGGTGGATCAACATGTTGAGGACCTAAAGGAAGTCTGGGATCAAGTTTAACAATTGCTGGCTCATAAATCATCTCTTGATAAAAAGCATGCAGATAGGCGTAGACTTGATGCCCCTGTATATTACCGGGTGATAAGGTCTGGCTAAGTACAAAACATATCCGCCTTTAAGTCCCACCTATGAAATTAGCACTGAGATTCATTGGTCCATAAAAGGTGGTTAGATGGATCAACCCTGTGGCGTATTGTATTGAATTGCCTCACTCCTTTCGCATCCCCAATGTTTTCCATGTATCCTTATTGAAACCCTTCATGTGTAACAGGTTCACTAGTCCTGTGGAGGACCAGGAGGAATTCGGTTCAGGTGGAGGACCAGGAGGAATTCAAGGTCAGTGCTATCCTGGAGTCATGGATTTCTAGGGGTTCTCTCCGATATTTGGTGGACTGGAAGGAATACTGTCCTGAGAACAGGTCCTGAGTGACTGGTTCTGACATTCATGCTCCCTGCTTGGTCCGTTCATTCCACTCTCGGTTTCCAAACCTCCCTGGCTCTTCCTGCCCGGTGGTCGGTCCTCGAGGGAGGAGTACTGTCAGGTTACCTTTTGTATCAGTCAGGGGCATGTCAAAGACTGGCATCTCATTTGCGTCACCGGCTCACCCCTTTACTTCCTTCTTACCCCCGTCCTGATTCTCTGGATGCCTTTGTTAGGCGCTTTGATAGTATGACCTATTTGTTTCTGACAAACTAGTCTAATCCAGTGTATGTAAAGCCGACTTTTTTACCATATACAATTCAACATATCAGAATACATATAGCTATAAACGCAATATAGAGTTTACACCATGTAATCCAGGAGTAACTATTCTTGCTAGTAAGCAACCAGGGGACATTTACAGTTTCTCTACAAAGGTACTGATTGGAGGTCTGATAGAGATAATGTGAAGGTAAGAAAGTTTTATGCATACCTCCCAAGTGTCATTATTTATGAACGAGAGTGCCTATTTTGGGTCCTAATTACTATGTCACTCTTTTCTATGGTAATACCTCTCTTTTTTAGGAGCTCAATATTCTTGGTGGGTGTGAATTTACACCAAAGTGTCTCAGCAGTAATACTCACGGTAATGTGTCTTCCAGCTATAATTAATGTACCGGTATTCAGAAATGAGTATGTGTCAATAAGATACTTAGTTCTTGTTCTAAATTGCATTTTAATTGAATACATTTTTTATTAGTAAGTCACCTTAAATTTGTCAGAATAGCTCACCCCTGGCTACACCCCCACTCACACCCCTAATATTTAAGTGTAACCCTTAGTCCACTCAAAATATGGGGAAGTATGTTTGTGTGGTACATTACAATTTGCAAAGGAAAACAAGTATTACCCATTGAATGCAGTAGGTTGGAAAGGTTGAAGAAGAGAAAAATAATTATATCATATCCATTATTATAATAAGGAAAAGGTCGAATATGGTTTAGTTTGAACCCTCTTAAATTTAGTTTCTTAACTGTTTGATGGGAACGAGGACAGTCACATCTCTTAACGTTTTTTCCATAAACCAAAGGAGGAGTGCTACTAGGTTCCAGAAACACCAGGGGCCTAAAGGAAAACTCGATGACGACTACACTAACAGATGAGATGTCATGACAGTTCCACAGCTTTCTATGTTATGTCCCCTCCTCTTTACCAATGAATACCATGCTGCTGACCATACAGTTAAAGCATAGCTAGGTATTCAATATAATTCTGGCATAGTATGTAAGCGATAAAGGGATGTTCAGTGAAGTTCTGCTTTTCAGCATCTTCTCCCAACTGTCAACTGTGGGGCACTGCCCTGCCACTAAGTAGACTGACAATAGACTGTACTATTGATATTTATTCATACAATAGGTGGCTAGATAGGCATCCGTCTGATGTAAAATTAAAATAAAAGAACACTAATATCCTCCTGCCTCCTCCACCAAATGTGGAGATCGGGGGCTGAAGAACCCCACATCTGGGGCTTAAGTCATTCCAAGCAATGCCTATGCACCAAAAAAATGTCATTCTATTTTGCATTATCTCAATCCATACAAAACTCACGGTTCACGCATAACCTATTGATAGTAGTGACAATTAGACATGATTACACAAAATATGGTGTTTGTAATGCTTGTTGTATAGAATAACCAGATCACAGCTCATGTTCTTTATTGGTTCAGAGGCTAAAGCACCAGCAACAAAGCTTGGTGTTCACACTTAGATCAATAGTTGCTAAAGTTTTTGTGATGTAAAGAAGGAATGTTTAATTAATGAGTGACAGGGATCATTCCCATCCTATACACAAGGCATTCAGTTAAAATCTGTGTTAGTTGCCCAGTAGATTATTCTGTTTTTTTTGTCAAATGTGTATACTAAGTGGGTGGGGTGGGTGCTTATGACAAGTCATGACACTACCAGGGCCAACATTCGGAATTCAGGTCAGACCTAACTGAGATATTAATAATAATGGATACAAGCGTACTACCAGTCCTTTAGAGTCAGATGGTCTTAACTCAATGACAGCTAAGAAAAACAACCTAAGGAATAGGCAAAACCAAATCTAAAAAAATCAAACCGAGTTTGATGACTGTAGAGAGACACGCAAACAGATGAGTATCCAAGGTCAAGCAGTATAGCTTGGAGAATAGTCATGAACTAACTGGGGGCCAGAATAAAAAACAAGACAATGAAGCTCTCAGATAAACCACGACAGAGTAAATGCAAAGTACAAAGACGGTTTATATAGTACTAGGAAGTGTTTAATTGGCTGGCGACATTTTCGTGACACCAAATTGTACGAGGGCAATGTCGCAGAAATGACTCAAGCAGCTACGAAATTGACTCCTGGGTCTTAAGAACCATAAAATGACCCAGGATCTCAGTGGCCATTGTCAGACATGACACCAGAATGACACCGGTCACTGGAATGTATGTCATCATGACGCAAGAGAGGAGGAGTCCTAGCAGGTAACATGATATCAGTGATATTATTACATAACATGGGAAGAATAACAAAATGTATTTATTAGACCACTAAAAAATGGTATTACAGAAATAAAAGAACATAGCGCTTCCTGGGTGACAAAATTAGATAAATATTTGGATTTGGTCTTGGCATGCCTGCACTGTCATTTATGTTTAGGGTTGATTGAAGAAGCAACACTGTGTGACGTCAGAATGTTCCCCCTTTTTTGATAGAATAAAGGATCTTTTGAATACTTGACAATGAGTCCTGGTCTTTTTTTCTTTTTAATAATGTATCTGTTTGCCTAATAAGACACAATGGCGTCATTTCTAAGTAACTAGGTGACATGATTTTGGGCATCTCTGGAAGACTCTCGCATGTAGCTTTGAGTTGTTTACCTAATGTATTCATTGGGAAAAAAAGGATGTTTTGGCTTTTATTTTCTTCAAGCCTCTAATTACCCTAATTACCCTCAGGGGACCTTCATGAAAAATTGGAGACTATTTAACATGTAAAATACCCGTTTGTTACCTTGCAGGAAACTATAAAACAAAAGGTTATCAAGCAAGAGACCCTATTTCAGCAAAAATATGAATATGAGCAGTACATGCATATAATTATTGTAGATATTATTTTTGTGTATGTGAATTCTTGTGGACAGAGTAGGCAATCAGATTAAGAACAATTTTGCAGAACATTCTGCAGCAAATAGGACCTTGGAACAAAGCGTAAGTAAAATAATTCTGTTTTTTATTATTTTTAAAAAAGATAAACCTAACATCTTTCTTTAAACGTGTCGTTGCTAGAGTTTTAGATTGTGAAATTATTCCTTTAACTAGATAAGTGTGACGCCTACAGAAAATAGTAGACTGCTGTTAGACATGAGAAACCAGCAAATGCAATGATTTGTCCCTTCGTTGCTCTATTGTTAAATTGCATTAAAGTACATGTAATACAATATTTTCAGTACTGGATCTTTTCCAGTATAAAATTTGTAAACCAGCCACAACAGTTTAGTAATATTTCATCATTAA